TCATTTGTTGCTTTCAGTTTTATATCCCACATTAGTGATATATCGTTCTCGACTTTTTCTGTCTGACTTACTATGCTTAGCATGATAATCTCAAGATCCATCCATGTTGTCGCAAATGGCAGTATTTCATCTTTTCTTCTGGCTGAGTAATATTCCAGTCATTTTTAATACATGGTGAATATTAAATTTGATATGGAATTTGATATAACTTTAGCTCTCCTATTTTTGAGGACATCTAACTTGCTGATTCCATTTTAAAAATATGGCTGATAACCTGCTCATCTTTGGCCATACTGCCTAAGTAGCAACATAGCCTGTTTACTTAAAATTTTCTTTTCAGGTTTTGTATAATTTGTTAACTGTTATGTTCTTTGGCATAGATATAGGGGGGGGGTAGTTTATTTAAACTCTTAACTTAATCTCATAAACTGCTCCTTGCCTATATTGACTTGCACTTTTTCTATTAAACGTATGCTTTGCCCATAGAAGTCTCAGTTTTGCTAGCTTACCTTTTTTGAGTTATCTCCTGTTTCACTTACTGCTTTTTTTCCCGTTCCACAATCACCTTCTTATTATAAGTTCTATTTTTACCTCGCATTTCTTAGGCACTGTGTTCTGTATTGAACATACCGTCTTTGGAGTAGGTGGGCTTCCTATCTCTCAGGTCTTACAGTGATGGAGCAAATGGTAGAGGAAGGAAAAGGCCAAGTTTTGACTTCAGTAATTCCTTGAAGTACGCTGCAACGTAGGTACTAAGGAGAAACATATTAGGGCTGGTTTAATTACATACAAATCAGTTTGCTTCAGCTCTTTTTTAGGTGGCTCATAAACATTGTACCTCATGTACCTCTTCTTTCGTCTCCTCTGGAAGAAAGCTGAATACTTCCCCAGCCCATTTGATAACTTGAATTATGTAAGGAATTTTAGGCCAGAGTGCTAATTAAATGGGGTCCTTAAAATTTCAAGTCTTCAAGAATTTTCACTAAACTGACTTGGGATCAGATAGTAAAAAATTTCATTTTCTTAATTTTTAATAGATAATATTTGAAATATACAAAAAAATGTAGCTGAAAGTGTTCTAGTAAGCCAACTCCCTGATCAACAAAATAAGGTCTAGTTTGTAACATTTGTCCACTTCTGTGGTGTAAATACTGCTTTCTTAGCCAGTTTCTAGCTCCCAATAGTTGAATAAGAATTAGAACAGTATTGTGACCTTTCTGTTTGTCAAAATTATTTGAAGATTTTGCCTTGGATAAAATCATAGCAAACTTAGCATGTGCCAGGAACTAGTCTCCATATTTTACTGAATCCTTTAACCCTATAGTATCTCTATGAAGTAACAGTATTATTTTACAAATGAAATTGCGCATAGAGGTTAAGTCACTAAGAACACACAGCTAGGAAGTAGTAGAGCCAGGATTCTAACCCAGGCTGTCAGACTGCAGAATTGGTGCTCATAACCACTACACTACACTGCCTGTTTTGATGATGTTTTAATTTGTGAATACATTTGCTTATATTCTAGTGACAAGAGGTTTATATTTGACTATAAGGGAAGTATTTGCCTAGGACAAGGTCAAAAGTGCTCCCACTGATTATACATTCCAATTTCAGTTTTATAATATTAAATGTCTCTTGGGAAATTTTGGAATCTACTTTAGAAATGGTTTGCTTGCAATCTTTTTTGTTTATTTGTTTGGCGTGCTTTGCTCCTTTTGTGAGTGTGTAAAATTGACAGTGATTTCTTGAGAGTTCATTTTTTGCTCTTTTTACTTTGACCTCTATTTCAGCAGCAAGTGGCAGTTCAGGAGATGGTTATGCTGCATACGTGATTAGTAACAAAAAGATATGATTGATGGGCATATTTTTGGTGATGTTATTAGATACAGAGTCAGTTGAACAAAGATTATTGGGGACTTGAAAAGGACAAATTGAATAAAAGTATAGTGAAATCGTGATAAAAATACCTTTTTATTAGAGCTTAGAAATAAAGAATTTGCATCTACTGTTAAGTCCTAAACAGAAAAGGCTTAAACAATGATAAAAAAAAGATTTATCTGTGCATTTTCCAATTAAACTTAGCCTTTCTCAGTTATGTTTTTGCTTCAGTAGGAGATACCATTTGAATAGTCAATTACCAGAGAAATATTTTTCACCTAATAAAAAACATAAGTTGTCCAAAACTACAGTATCTAAGAGAAGAAACCATGGTAGAGTGAAATGTAATTGGTTAAAGCTTTGAAGTGTTTTTCTGCCTACATATAAAACCTTGTCTACACCTATATAGATAAGAATCTGTCTTTTTGAAAATCTTCTACTAAAAGACATCTCAAAAACTTACCTTAGTAACACATATCTGATTTAGCTATCACAAACTGCTAATAAAGTGGAAAGGAGATGTGACATAAGGGACCCAGGATATAAGTTGTCATTTAACTAGCCATGTAATGTGCAAATTATTTAACTACCCTGATTCTTAGAAATGTTGATATCTCACATTCAATGCTATGGTGGGGATTAAATGACAGGACATGAAAATTTAATGGATGTTTGGTATTTTTTCTTCATATTGGTGAGAAATGTTTATGACCATACAGTGATAGAAGAAAGGACCTTAGCAATTGCCTCCTACCCTCTCATTTTGTAGGGGAGGAAAAGTCAGCTCTGTTGCAGTAATCAGTGAGTGCATTTGAAGTCAGAAAACATGGTGTGTGTGTGTGTGTGTGTGTGTGTGTGTGTGTATGTGTGTATGTGTGTATGTATATACATCTCCTTTACTATTTCTGAGCCCTTGTCCCTCATTACCTACTTTTAAAAATCTCTTTTCTAAGGAAAACACTCATTTAACATTTTTGCCAATTTCCTAGTGTGCCTTCCCATAACGCAAGGCTAGATAACAGAAAAACTACGTTTCCCAGCTTCATTGTAATGAGGATTTTGGATGTGCTTTAGATTCTGCCAATCAGATGCACTTGTTTAAGACTTGAAATCAAAGTGTGCAAGAGTCAAGTGTTAAGCGTTTGTCTTACTGGTATGGGTCTAGCACATTGGTTTTCAAATTTTAGTATGCGTTAGAATCATCTGGAGGGCTTATTGAAACACAGATTACTAAATCCCACCCCCAGAGCCCCTGATTCAGTTTGTCTGGGATGGGCCTAAAACGTTTACCTTTTAACCAGTTTCAGATACACTCTATTTGATGCTTCGATAGCATGAGTTTCTGGATATTGAATCCATCTAAAAGAAATGTTTACAAGAGGACCTTTCCCATTCAGAGTTTATGTTAAATGTACCACATGAATATTTTAAAATTTATTTCATGGAGACTTCAAGTATACAGTTACTTGCCTATATCATGATCTTCTCCTCTGCTATTAAAAGGGCCCAGGACATTACAAACTACTGAGAAGTTCTTCAAAGAAAGACAAATAATTAAAAACATTAATTAAAAATAAATATAGCATCCAACCTTATCTTGTTGGTGTTAGGAGCTTTTGTTTAGGTTTGGTTTGAGGTGAGCACTGATGGACAAAATTACAACGGCGAACTATGAAATGTGCATTGGTCTCCACAAGGTTTAAGAATTATAATTTTTTTTCTATTTTAGTTGGTGGTCTTCTCTAACTGATTAATTAGGTAGGGTGTCTGTGGAAAGTCCTTTCCACTTTTATTTTACCTCTATAATTCTGCTGTATCATTACAATATTTTCATTGTTTCAGGAAATTTTATTCCAAGCTTAGGATTCATGTGTAGGTTTAACCTAAAAATGAAGTTTAGTTTGAGAAGTAGTAAAATATAAGTACCGTATTTGCCGGCGTATAAGACGACTCGGCGTATAAGACGACCCCCTAACATTTCCACTCAAAATACAGAGTTTGTTATATGGTCGGCTGTGTGCGAGTTTGCGAGTGTGGTAAAATCGCATAACAGCAAAATCGCATAACAGCCGAGCATACACCCAGCAGCGCTGCTGATGCCTGAACGGTATGTGGAATGAAGTGGGCGGGCATCGGGAGGCCACTATGGCACGGAGCAAGCACTATGGGCAGTCTATCTGAAGTGTACCTGGCGTATAAGACGACCCCCCACTTGGAGGCATATTTTTCAGCGCCAAAAAATCGTCTTATACGCCGGCAAATACGGTAGTTGTCATTTCTTTGATCAGATTACATTGTCTTAAAGTTGTTTCTGAATTTTACTGATTTTTGTAGCCCAGGCTTTCAGTATTCCTCTAAAATTATTCTACAGAGCCTGAAGTTTTATTCTTTTGATATCTCAACTTGGGGTCATTTTGGCAAATTGATTCATTCATTCATTTAAACATTATTTATGCGGTGCTCACCATGTGCCGGGAACTCTGCTAGGCTCTGGGGAGATGGTGGTGAGCAGAAACCTTGTTATACCTGCATGAAACTAATAGAGAAATGGGGAAGAAATGGGCTCCTGGCTGGATGTTAGCACAAGTGTAACATTTGGACGAGGAAAAGGAAGGAAGATTCGTAGCCATAGCTTCATTAGAGTAATCTGACTTGTTAGAAAAGGCTTCACTGAGGAACAGATGTCTAATCTGGGAGCTGAAGCGTGAGGAGGAGGAATTAAGTAGGCCAAGAAGGGGCCGCCATTTCCTCGGCAGAGGGAACAATGTGTACAAATGCCCTGAACAGGCAAAGAGCTTGACAAGAATGGGGGACTGAAAGAAGGCCAGTATTTCAATAGAGAGGACAGACTTGGGAGAGCAGAGTGGGAGAAGGAGCTGGAGAAGTAGAAAGTAGATCCAGAGTGAATACTGGCAATTACTTAGGAACCATTACAGCAGCCCAGGAGAGAGAAGTTGGTAGCTTGGACTATGTGGTGGTGCTGGCGGGGACAGAAATGTAGGGAGTTAAGAGCCATATTTAGAGGGTTTTAAAAAAAAAATTATGTATGTATTAATAGATTATTGGGTTGACATACACTGCAGAAATTGCGAGTTGATTGATTTTTACTTTTTTCTCTTTAGGAATTATCCAGCCTGCCTGTGCTACTAATGAACAGAAAACTCTGATTTAAACAAAGTGCCAAGAAGGGATTGTCCTTGATTTTTGTAACTTGTAGCATTCCTCAAATTCTTTTCACATCTTCTCTTAGAATAAAAACTGCATTTAAGTTAGAAACATGAAGCAGTCGAAAAGGAAAAGGAAAAGCAATTTTAGTGTTCAGGAAACTCAGACCCTTTTGAAAGAAATTACAAAAAGAAAAGAAGTCATTTTTTCCAAGCAGCTCAATACAACAATTAATGTGATGAAACGAATGGCTTGGGAGGAGATTGCACAGTGTGTGAATGCTGTTGGAGAAGGAGAACAGAGGACAGGGACGGAAGTGAAAAGAAGGTACCTTGACTGGCGAGCACTTATGAAGAGAAAGAGGATGAAGGCGAACATTAAGCTGGTTGGTTCGGGGTTTCCCCTTCCCACGTCTGATTTAGATGACTCTCTTACTGAAGAAATAGATGAAAAGATTGGATTCCGAAATGATACAAATTTTGATTGGCAAAATGTGGCAGATTTCAGAGATGCAGGTGGATCCTTAACTGAGGTCAAAGTGGAAGAGGAAGAAAGAGATCCCCAGAGCCCTGAAGTAAGTATTAGCCTGTGAGCCCTCTTTTTCATTAATTTCTTCATTTCTGATGTGCCAGTTTATTATAGCCCTGGAGCAGTTAAGGAGTTCCTGAATTTTCAAGCTAATTTAAAAATAGCCCATAACAGGGCCGGCTGAGTGACTCAGTTGGTTAGGAGCTCGCTCAAGAGTTTGAGCTCTGAGCAACAGCGGTTCGAGTCCCGGCCCG